GGTGTTGTTTTAAAGAAGACATTTGGCAGATTTTTGTAGAAGTGAAATAAATTAAGAAAGTGAAACAGAAAAAAAGTTATAGAAGTTTGAGTTTATGGAAATGTACAATGAAAAAATATTAATTATTCATATTTTACATAAAATATATATTTTCAAAACCTGGGCTACTCTAAAATGGCAGAAAGATCAAAGCCAAAAATCTGAACAAGTTGTGTTTCAAATTTTAGGTTGATATCTCAAAAAATGAGCTTTCAGTAAGATTTTGTTTGAGCGCAGTACCAAACTTTTTCACTAGGGCACAATCAGACTCCATTACTGCCCATATAAGGGCGTCAGCATTTCCATTCGTGTTTTGAGTGATATGAACCATTATTTTCACAATTTTCAAACAATTTCTGAAGTAGAGATCCTATTCAGAAGTAGCATGGGAAGTTTGGCAGATTTTGATATGAATTAAACCTCTAAGAAACACATACAAAGAACACGCATGTAAGTCATAGCTAGCTGCCACGTCACAAATGGTGAATTTATTATTTTTTTCTTGATATTTCAAACTTTTCAGACCTTTTTTCCAAAATAATTGAATGGATTCTATCTTTTGAACTTTTGGCATGAAAACAAACTGAGGTATCTACCATTTTTTCATGATTTTTCATGTTTACTGCTAATTTAAAATAAAGGTCTGAACACGCCTTATGAGTATGAAAATATTCTTGTTTTATATTGATAAATTATGGCTCCTCTGTAATATATTTTGAAAATCAGTCACCAAATATGGAAACTAGAGATTGTAAGCTTTCAAATGATATATAGTTTGTCAATATTATTTAAGGTATTTATTAAGATATTATTGTTTTAAAAATATAGTGGCAAACGTCCCACCTGTGGGACGGTGACAGTTAACCCTCTAAGACCGACGGGAGCGCCGGCGCTCCGGTTTGCGTGTGTCTGTTCAAGAGCCTATAGAAACTGAAACCAAATGGCTAGCTCAATCATTCTTTTTGCATACAAAACCAGAGATGTAACATGTTCAGATCAAGCCTCCTTGTTTTCTACCTCTAATGAGTCTGTACAAATTGCGTAAAATGCGTTTCACAAAAAAAATAAAAAAATCACAAAAATGCATTGCACGTCTTTGCACATGTTCTGTAAATTAAACTTTATTATTATTATTATTATTATTATTATGTGGCCATGCCTCTGGTGGAGTGTGCTTTAACTCCAATGGGGAATTGTGGGCCCATCGACGTGTAGGCCAACGCAATCGCACTATCTAGTGGGACAGTCTTTAATTAGTGGATGCCCTTTGGTGCTGCGCCAGACTAATCTCAAATATTCTAAAGATCCCTTGTAAGGTTTTTTTTTTTTTTATTTAACAGTCAGACATACATACAAACAAACCAACATAGTGCAGTTGTGAGCAATCTTGTAAATCCATAATTCCAGCAGTGGCAAGAGTGATTTAAGTGTTTGATCTAAGTGTGTATGTGAGCGGGTGTGAGTGTGGGTATGTGTATGTGTGTGTAAACAAAGTAACCATTTATTATTTATTTCCATTTTCATTACCATCACCATCCCACTCCCCACTACCACCATACATATTGTGTTTGTAGATTTTTATTTCCATCCTTCCTCCTATGTAACAATTGCCATTGTCAGTCCTGTATAAAATGAAATATGATATAATAAGATAATACAATATAAGATAACCTTCCCCCACATCTCATCAGGGCTGGACTGAGACAAAAAATCAGCCCTGGACACTTCATCCAGACCGGCCCACTATGCATGTAAACACACACATTAATCTATATGTGCATTAATCTGCATCTATACGTGCATTAATCTGCATGTAAAATTACTGATTAGATTTTATTTACTATCAAAACCAAGAAAAAACTATTAAAATAATAAACAAAGAAAATGGAAATGATTTTATAAGGCTTTATTGTAAATAGAATATTATTAGGCTATACTATATAAACTATATTTCATGAAGTGCAACATCACTGCCAGGACCTACAGAATATATATTCTGTAGGTCCTGGCAGTGATGTTTCACCTCATGAAATATAGTTTATATAATAGTATACCTATATTTCATATATACTATATCATTTATACAGTGTATATATATATATATATATATATATATATATATATATATATATATATATATATATATATATATATACAGTATATATATATATATATATATTAATCCTTGTTAAAGCTGTTAGTCAAGAGCAGTGAGTTATTTACACAGACAGTAGGTAAGGCTTCTGCCAGGCACTTTCAGGGATACAAATTGAAAAAATATGTATATATGCAAATATGTGGCGGCTACATGACAAATTGTATTGAGTGAAATGTAAATAATCCTAAATATGTGTGTTATTTTAATGCATTTCAGTTTGTATTATTTTTGTCATTTAACATATTTATGACAATTATTTATGCAGTATTTGAATACTATTGTATTGTGTACACAAGATATATATTATTATAAACCTAGCTAGTAGATCAATTGTATGAGTAGTGACTAAATCATGGGTCCTGTTTATTTAATACAGGCCAGGTGTGACCAGTGCGGGCCAGTTGATGGCAAGCCATTATTTACCTGGAACAGAACCGGCCCAGTAACATCATTACCTTGTGGGGTTGGTAGGAGGCTGTTGTAGTCTGCTCACCCCTTCTACTCTTATTCGTACACACACACTACTACACACTTAGAGCCATTAGATGAATTCTAGCTTATGGACTATTGCATCCTATGGACAATTCTTGTGTGTTGTGGACCGTTTTTTATATGAATATATTTTCCAGTTCTGAGTAATATTGTGCCTGGGTTTCTATGAATTATTGAACCTTTCTGCATGATTGGAAAATTTGGGGTATTGCGTTGTCGTTGTTGTTTTGTCTTTGTGTTCACTTAATATATGGTACCAACACCAAACTGAACTGATCTGTTTTGTGTCTTTAATTACTCTATCAATGCCTCCTTGAGACGAACCCTTATCTTCTGTAGCCCAATTTTTACTTACCACCTTCTATAGCGATAGAAATGGTTATACAATAATACACATTTCCCTATGGGAATATGTTACACTAACAAAAATGCATTACTTGAATTAACCTTGAACTTGAAACATAAAACCTATACACAAGTCTTTCTATCTGTCTGCTTTCCTGCTTATGTTTCTCTGTACTTGACTTTGTCCATGACTTTGTTGGGGCTGTCTAACGGGTTACAATCCCATGTCATTAATATTGTTTACTGTCTTTCAGAACTGGATTGGAAATTACAAGAGATCCCAAAAAGGTTCTGAGACCCGGCCCTCAAAGCCAAAGTTTTACACTGGGGATTTGTCACCATACAACCTTTTTTGCAGGGATGTTCTCAGAAAGAAAGGTGAGAGGGACTGTTTGTCATTTGTCATTGTCATAGAATTTCATGTTGTCAATTTTCATCAGTGGTTCACAAGGGTCATGAAACTAATGTTTAGTATACTATTTGGCAGGCACTTTACATTACATAGATTGACATAAGACTGGTCTGTTTGTTGATGTATTTACAAATTATTGTTTGAAAGGTGGATTTCACAATCCAAGGGCAAACCGAGGTGTCAGACACATTTTCTGCAGACTGTAAAGTGTTAAGGGCCAATCCCAATTCTACCCCTTACCCCTTCCCTTTCCCCTAGCCCTACCCCTTCGCCTTCCCCTTGACCCTTGAAACAGAGTGGCAATGCGTAGGGGTGAAAATATTCCCCTAAGAAATGGGACACCACTACGCCTCCGTTAAACGTCATTATAAGTCGTCGCTAGCGCCTACGTCACAGGAGATGCGCCGATTTTTATCACAACTTCCAAGATCCCGTCGACAGCTGCAGTTATCTCAGTCGCGTGGGTTACAGCTATTTTCTTGCATCTTGTGAAGTTCGCAGGAAACAACGGAGACGACGAAAATATGTTGCGGGACTATCGTTAGCAAACTACAGTAATTTTAGCGATTTTTTTTTTTTTTACAAACGTTTCTGTGAAGAAACTGACCGTAAATATGAACACAATATTGAATGTAACATAAAGCAAATCATTATTTGTCGTTATAATACTTATTAAAGCCACAAATACTTAAATTTATGGGTCTCCTTTGTCGCTTGGGCAGCCAGGCTGGGTTAGCAGTGACACTTCTCATACCCCTTCGTTTGAAGTGTGCTCCCGAAAAATCTTCGTTTGAAGGGCTATCTGGCCCTTTCCCCTAGCCCTCCCCCTCCAACCAAAAGAGAATTGGGACAGCCCTACCCCTTCACGTGGACGCGCAAAACGGAGGGGAAGGGGAAAGTGAAGGGGTAAGGGGTAGAATTGGGATTGGCCCTAAGTTTACTGTGCATTCTTTTTTCTTCAGGGACTATGAAGGATATAAAGGGCAGGTGGTCCACACTAGAGGAGAAGCAGAAAGACAAATATAAACATGAAGCAGCTGCACTGAGGGCACCATAGACATATATACTAGACCTCACCTTGGGGTTCTAAGCATGCGTCAAAACCGCCGCCATCTTGGAACAGGGGTCTTGTCATAGGAAGTAGCTAGGTAACGCTGCTATCTCTGCCTTTACTTCGAATTCATTGATGGTGGCGGACTTTTGTGCAGCGTATGATGTTCACGGATGAAATCTCAACTAGGATGAATGTTTTTAAAAGAAAAAAAAATAATTTCTGGAATCAATGATATTCCATTCCCCTGTTTCAAGATGGCGGCTCTATTGACGCATTCGTTCCAATGAACTGCCGTAGCCAAGGTGAGGTCTAGTGTATACAGTATGTCTATGTGAGGGCACAAGGGCAAGATCTTAGCAGTGAAATGAGGGAGCTCAAAAAAAAAAATCTGTACCAGCTGAAATTACAGGTTTGGAAAGAAGGGAACTTAAAGGCAAGGTCCATGATGTTTTTAAAATACATTTTGATTTAATTCCACTTCAACAACTGTTTGTGACCAATTAATTAGATGATCCAGCACAAAAGAACAACGTTTAGTAACCTGGTGAACATACAGGACTGAAAAACACCAAGCAGTCATTTCACAAGGATGAAAAAATGATTGAATGGTCATATGTCAATCAAAAACAGTTGGCATTGGTCCCTCCCCCAGACGGGTCCAAGCATTGCATGTTACTGTACTCTGGATGCGTGTCTGTCCTGCCTTTAATTTGATTTGATAAGTGGTATTGTTGTTGTAGATTTAAGGATTATTAACCACGAGTGCGAATGGAGCAGAACACAATGGCTATTTGTAGAACAATCGAAAGGAATCACTTGCGCTTCAGCCTACCCCATGCTCTCGGAACAGGACACAACAATCTGAGGACAAGGTCCCAAGGTCTAACTGAGACCAAGGAGCAGGACCGGAGCACAGAATTTTTTTAATGTATTTATTGGTCAACAATGACTAACGTTTTGACGCACATGCGTCTTCTTCAGAGTCAAACAGTCAATGACAACAACAAACAGACCTAAAAGAGTCATCATTAAAGAAATTGGCCACAGGCCTAGGTGGGTGTGGTGCAACAATTATTCAATCTAATACAAGCACTCAAGTCTTGGAAGAAAAGAGAGAAAAAAAATACAAACACATGTCCAAAAACCAAAAATAGAAAAATACATAGATATACAAGCACCGTAAACCAAATACAGATATACACACCCAGGTATATACAGGTCTCAGTTAGACCTTGGGTCCTTGTCCTCACAATGGCTATTTGTGTTCATATTTTGATTCTTTGATGATTCAGCATTCACAGCAATTATGTTCTCCACAATTTTCTGCACATCATTTAGACTCTTAATGTCCAGAGTTACTATCATATCTCCGTCCACCTAGGAAACAATAACTTGAGTAATTTTGGTTTTGTGTCTGGTGCAACAAAAAAGATGCACAAGTTCCCTCATTCACTCATACCAGGATGGTGAACATATACTGTTACCTTTATATCAAAATGTAACACTTCACATTGATTCAATTTGATCATTTCATGGGAACTGCAATCAAGTAATCTAACATGAACTTAGCTAGGAGTAGAACCCACCTTTGGACATGCTGGGCACGTGGTCCCATCATCAAACTGAGGGCAAATATCCACCAAACTCCTTTGTCGGAAGCGGTGATGCCTAAAGTGGGATATCAAAGAGTGCAGGCTTCAGGTTCACACTCGCACATATCTACAAGGATGGTGCAGAGACGTCCTGCAAAAAACAAAAACAAAAACAAAAAAACATAAAAACATAACCAAGGAATACAATAAAATAGTCTATTGATGATGATAGACAACCTTATTTATAGACGGCAGCATGGCAGTGGCCATTTGCACTAATTGGCCCAGGACAGCTGTAGCTACCATCACCAAGTATGAATGAGTGAAAGAATAACGAATTCAAAGTAGAGCTCTTTGAATGTCTTGAAAAGCGCTATATAAATCTAATCCATTATCATTACTATAATGTATATTAACACAGACATTGTGTCACCAGTAACCTACTATGTTTTATTACTGGGAAATTGCACATCAGAAGTGTGAGAAATTCCTACGAGAACATCATTGCTCAACATTTCATCAGCCTCTCTTTCTTTTGTCAAGGAAATTAAACACATGACTTTCAACATTATAAAATGACAAACCTGTGTTGACAATGACTTTTATATCTTTCCTGTACACAGCATGGTTTTCATGGCCCTCGGGTAAATACATGAATAGCCCCTGATAGGATGGTTCATAAGAAGAATTCTGAAAGAAAGATAACTTTAACTAATAGTTTTGGGAATGAGTAATTGAAGACAACACAAATTGTAGTATTGTGCTAAAACAAGATTTACAAATAGTTTGCTATATGTATATGTGTGAGTGAATGCTGTTGTTCATACATTCCATTTATCAGGGATGTGCAATGAATTGTGGTGAGTCCTCCTCAGACAGGCTTCACAAAGGACTGCTGTAGTGCTGCACTCCAAGCACCTATAATCAGCATGCCGTTGGCAGACAGAACACTTGGAAGAGATTGGTACTGAAGTTTCAAATGAAACTTTGAGCATGTCCTCCTTGACTGCATCCCAGGCATTTAGTTCTCTCTTCTTTGCCTTACTGTATGCTTGTTTCAGAAGATGAACTACAGCCTGCTGCTTCATCTTGTTCTGATGGAACAAGTGTGGGGTCCAAAAGGCCTGTTTGTTGGGAGCTGGGCTTGGGGATGTCTTTATGTGTAAGGTAATGAACCTTTACACAACCATTTATATTCCTCCTCAGCACCTTTATCTTGATATTTCTTAACCGTGTTCCTTTCAATGCTTTTCCCATCTCTGGAAAATAAGGCAATAAAGACACATGCATGACTAATGGATACAACAAAAGCTAGATTTTTGTTCCTTAATGTGCATGATGTATTAAAACATAATAATAATAATAATAATTCATCACATTTATATAGCGCCTTTCTGGACACTCAAAGTGCTTCACATAGAGGGGGGAATCTCCTCAACCACCACCAGTGTGCAGCATCCACCTGGATGATGCGACGGCTGCCATAGTGCGCCAGAACGCTCACTACACACCAGCTTACTGGTGGAGAGGAGACAGTGATGAAGCCAATTGGTATATATGGGGATGATTAGGAGGCCATGATGGACAGAGGCCACTGGGCAAATTTGGCCAGGATGCCGGGGTTACACCCCTACTCTTTCGAAAGACATCCTGGGATTTTTAATGACCACAGAGAGTCAGGACCTCGGTTTAACGTCTCATCCGAAGGACGGTGCTCTTTGACAGTATAGTATGCCCATTATACTGGGGCGTTAGGACCCACACAGACCACAGGGTGAGCACCCCCTGCTGGCCTCACTAACACCTCTTCCAGCAGCAACCTGGCTTTCTCAGAAGGTCTCCCATCCAGGTACTAACCAGGCTCAGCCCTGCTTAGCTTCAGTGGGCTACCAGTCTTTAAAACATTGGCCTAGATGTCACGAGTTGTGGATGGTGAGGACCTAAATGCAGCAACAAAGTCAGGAGGCAGGCAGGTAAAGTAGTCTGTTAATAAATAAATGTAACAGACTACATGGAAGACACAGGGGGAAGCAACATGGATCTGGCAGGGAAATAAAGAAACCTAGGGGTATATGTACACTGAGCGGCTAACAATGAGACAGAAACCAGGTGTGACAAGGAGCAGGAAGTAACAGGACAGAATGCACAAGAGAATGAACCAACAAAATTAAAAACAGGAAACAAGACTAAGGCAAAACTAACACAAAAGGAACAGAACACAAAAAACCTGGGAGACCATGACGTAGATGCATAACTAGATAGATAATAAATCAAACAAACTTACCACTGAAATTTTGGAACTATTTTTCCTAATCTGGGAATCAAAGGTTGTAAAATGAGATGGACAAAGTCAAGTACAGAGAAACATAAGCAGGAAAGCAGACAGATAGAAAGACTTGTGTATAGGTTTTATGTTTCAAGTTCAAGGTTAATTCAAGTAATGCATTTTTGTTAGCCTGTTGTTGTTGCTAGCTTAACGTTACATATTAGGCTAAATAAAAATAGAGGTAACGGTTACCACAAATCTGATGTCACTATCACTATACAGTAGCTAGGTATATACGAGCATGATATAGCCTGAATGAAGAGTTTGTATGAAGCAGATACAAAATATATGTACAGTGTAGTCATTACACCGAACGCCAGTTTAAGGCTAAAGGTATAATTTACAGGAAACTCATGGTGTAATAAATCGTTTTTCCCCCTCATCTGCTAATTTTTTAATCTCATTAGTTAGCCATGGGGTAAGCTAACGTTAAATTGGCAGTAAGTTTTGATTCCATTAAAAAAACAACAACGTTTTTGTAGTAAACTGTAATGCTAGCTTGACCGGTAATGTCATGTTTTGTGTGTTTTCGTTATTAGTGATTCCCCGTCGATTATTTGTCCCAGGTGTTTTGTATTTCTCACGCCCCCTTGTTATCTTGTCTAGCTCGTTTGTCCTTGATTATTTAAGCCCTGTGTTTCTGCCCTGTCTTTGTTGGTTGTTGAATTTATGTAGGTGAACGTTGGTGTTTTTGAATTCTCGAGTCCTGCTTCTAGTCTTGTATCCTGTTCCTAAGTTTGTTAATAAAGCTACACTGCGTTTGGATCCAGCCTCAGCATATTTCTCCGCACAACGTCACAGGTAAATAGAGTAAATGCAAATGAAAAAAAGGGTGCGTTTCGTTTAAAATCTTTTATGTTACCTTATTATAGCTTTAGTATAACAGTTTTTAAAAATGTTTTTTAGCTCATAAACTAAATAAGAACAGTTGAAAATGTCTTAATTTTCAGTCATTTTACCTGAAAGTCGCTTGAGGTTTGAGGTCTGACGGCGGACTGTATTCCTGGGGGACTGGATCGAGAGTCTTCCTGTATGATGCTGATCAGCGATGTGAATAGAAAACAACCCACTGCACCTGCTAAAAGGCACAGTAGGGCCCTACTGGCCCATACGAATGGGCCGATAACCACTGATAATGTCCATTCAATCGGGTGATGCGTCCGAAAGGGGTGAAATGTTGCAGTTTGTTGTTTCACTGAATAAGTTTTAAAAAGAAAAATTGTTAATTATGAGTTCTATTCACAATCTAAAATTGGTATTCTACGTTTTTATTAGCCTACCTGAAATAAAGAATCATCCCGATTCAGGCCTCTTTCATTCTCCATTGAAAGAAAGAAAGAAAGAAAAGTTCTATGCAGGTCCGTGTACGTTGCGTTCATTCGTTTTTCGATTTGATATTGAAAGTAGAAAAATGAGAAAACGAATCGGTTACCTAACGTAACCTCGGTTCTCTCTAGATGAGGGAACGAGTATTGCGTAAGCTAGCTTACGCTACGGAAAGATTCATCTTTGCTGAGAAGTTGAAGCCAAAAAATTATTCCATAATTTTGTAATCATTGTCAACACAGTATCTCTGAGGCAGACCATGAGCGGGGCTAGCTAGCAGCTCATTGGTTCGCTCAGAGAAAATGCACAAGCCTATGGGAGAGCGGCGCTGAGCCCGCGGCCAATGAGCGGACGGCGCTCGCTCATTGCGTCAGAGCCCGTCGAAAGGGGCGTGGCTATAGTGTATAAAACTGGCTCTCCCAGGCTCAGTCATTGATTTCTTTCAGCATTAAGCGAAATGCTGGTGGCGCAAGCACGGCCGGGAACGCAATACTCGTTCCCTCATCGAGAGAACCGAAGTTACGTTAGGTAACCGATTCGTTCTCTTACGAGAGGTTTTCTCGTATTGCGTAAGCTAGCTTACGCTACGGGAACATCTGGTCAACGCCGTGCGCGCTATGTAACCACTAAGCATCCCAGGGGGAAAAAACACTGGGGGAATCTAAAAGTGGAAGAAGACAATATCCAGCCAGCATAGCGGCCGTTATCATCTAATGCATACACCCCTAAGGCGGCCGGCATAGCGGGCCGTAACGTATAATGCATAAGCACATAGGGGGAGGCACAAGGGGCGAACCAGTTGTGATAGGACTCCCAATAGTGCAGCTTCTTGTAGGAGAGCTGTATAGTATTAGACCGCCAGTAATTTCGCCTGTAAGGCGGGGACTTCCAAGTTATAGAATCTGACAAAGGTGGAGGGGGAGGCCCATCCCGCAGCCACACAAATGTCGTGAATGGAAATTCCGCAGGACCATGCCCACGATGAGGCCATGCCTCTGGTGGAATGAGCCCTGACGCCCAGCGGGCAAGGCAGGTCTTTTGAGGCGTAAGCAGAGGCGATAGCATCCACTATCCACCTAGACAGTGTCTGTTTAGAGGCGGCTAGACCCTTGGTGCGGCCGCCGAACGACACAAACAGCTGCTCCGAGCGTCTGAACGCAGCAGCGCGTGTAGTGTACACTCTCAGAGCCCGGACCGGTCAGAGGCGATCAGTGTCACACTCGCTATCGGATGCAGGCAGAGCCGATAAAGAAATCACTTGCGCCCTGAGGGGGGTACCAATCGCTTTTGGAACATAACCGTGTCTAGGTTTAAGAATGACAATGGAGTCATTAGGTCCAAACTCAAGACACGCGGCGCTTGAAGACAGCGAGTGAATGTCCCCCACGCGTTTTACTGAGGCGAGGGCAGTCAGAAAAATGTTTTTTAGCGAGAGGTATTTTAGATCCACGGACTCGAGTGGGTCAAACGGTGGGGCTTTCAGACCTTCTAGAACTATAGAAAGATAGTAGGGGGGCGTAGGGGGCGAGGGGGGTTCATCCTTCTGGCTCCCCTGAGAAAGCGGATGATTAGCTCGTCTTTGCGCAACGACTGGGCGCGCCGGGGTTCAGCGAACGCCGTGACGGCTGCCACGTAAACCTTAAGAGTGGATGGGGACCTGCCCTTATCCAGCATCTCCTGAAGGAACATGAGCAAAGACGAGACCTCGCACGTCCGTGGGTCCAAGATTTTATCGGTGCACCATCTAGAGAACACAGACCATTTTGCAGCATAGAGCTTTCTAGTAGATTCCGCTCTGGCATGTTTGATCGTGTTCAGAACTCCTTCTGGCAAATCGACGAGTAGTTGTTGGTCACCTATGCATGAAGCGCCCAGCGCTGTGGATGGGGATGCCAGATCGTGCCGCGAGCTTGAGTGAGGAGATCTGCTCTGATTGGAATAGGCCACGGGGCTGTCTGTGACAGCTGCGTGAGCTCCGGGAACCAAATCTGATTCTCCCAGCGCGGGACTATGAGGAGCACCGGGTGGCGTGTGTCCCTGATTCTCTGAATGACCTGCGGTAGCAGAGAGATCGGGGGAAAAGCATAGAGCGGGCGGCGGGGCCAATCCTGAGCGTTCTCTTCTGACGCGAAAAGATCTATCTCTGCTCTGCCGAATAGGTGCCACAATGTTAGAACTGTTTGAGTGTGCAGGGACCATTCTCCGGGGGAGACAAGGTTCCTGGACAACATGTCTGGACCGTCGTTCAGATGGCCCGGTATGTGCGTCGCTCTGAGCGAAAGCAGGTGACTCTGGGACCACAGTAGGATGTGGCGCGTCAGATGAACGAGATTCTTGGATCTGACCCCGCCCTGACGGTTGATGTAGGATACCACGGCCATATTGTCTGAGCAGATCAGGACGTGGTGACCGTGTATGCGCGGGGGGAAAAGCAGCAGCGCGTTCTCGACCGCGAGCATTTCCAGACGGTTTATGTGTATGGAACTCTCCTGGCTCGACCACTGGCCGGCGGCCGGTGAGCCCTCGCAGACCACACCCCAACCCGTGTTGGATGCATCTGTCAAGATGACTTTTCGGCGAGAAAAGGTTCCCATGGTAACGCCCCTCTGAAACCAATCGGTTACTGACCATGGTTGCAGTGCAGTGATACATGTCTGTGTAACCTTGATAATCTGGCAGCCCGTAGTCCACTCACGGTGGGATACGCGGCTCTTTAACCAGAGTTGAAGGGGGCGCATGTGCAGGAGACCCAGCTGTAGCACAGCGGAGGCTGAGGCCATATAACCCAGCATCCTCTGAAAGGATTTCAGGGATGTGTGGGTACCCATCTGAAAGGAGGCGGCTAGACGCTGAACACGGCGCGCGCGCTGTGTGGATAAGCGAGCCTTCATCGTGACAGAGTTCAAATCTATTCCAAGGAATGAAATAGTTTGACTGGGCTGGAGAGAGCTCTTTGTCCAGTTGACAGAGAGTCCCAGCGCTTTCAGATGGTTGAGGAGAACTGTGCGGTGCGACAGAAGCTCCGTCTGAGACTGTGCTAGAATCAGCCAGTCATCCAGATAGTTTAAAATGCGCAGCCCCTGACTCCGCAGGGGGGCGAGCGCTGTATCCATGCACTTCGTGAACGTACGGGGTGCTAAGGATAGGCCGAACGGGAGAACGGCATATTGGTAAACCTGACCCTCGAAGGCGAAATGTAGGAATGGCCTGTGACGAGGATTTATCTGGATCTGGAAATAGGCGTCTTTCAGGTCTAGAGAGATGAACCAGTCCCCCTGGCGGAGTTTTCTGACTGTGAGCATTTTGAACGGTCTCTTCATGAGCGCTTTGTTCAAGACCCTGAGATCTAAGATCGGCCTGAGGCCGCCGTCTTTCTTGGGAACAAGAAAATAACGGCCGTAAAACGGCCGTCGGTCATAGATGGCGGAACTCTCTCTATTGCGCCCTTCTGCAGCAGCTTCGCTATTTCTGAGCGGAGCGTGTTCATCGCAGCTGGGCTGACAGCGGATTCGAGCCGAACGCGCGAACGGGGCGGGCGGCGACGAAACTGTAAAAGATAGCCATTCTTTATGATGCTTAAAACCCACGGGGAGATGCCGGGGATGGCTTCCCACGCTTCGCAGCAAGCGGCTAGCGGTTGAATGGCAATTTCGTCCTGATTGCTGCACATAGCGGGCTGGACACTGTGTGTGGGCGCGCTTAGAGTGTGTGTGGCAACGGGACTTACACTCAGAGAGGAGTTTTTGGGCCGTAAGACAGAGCGAGCAGAGGGGGGACACGTGCATGGGCTCGTGGGCGTGTTTATGTTTTCTGCTACTAGAGCGGTCAGTGGCCGCTCTGAGAGAATGGGCTCTGTGGGAGACACGGGGCATATGGTGCTTGTGTGTATGCGTGAACACATGCTTGTGGGCACATTTTTTACACTTGAGGCATTTATGCTCTTTTTGTGAACTCTCTGGGTAGCCGTAAAAACGGCTTTTTGTCGCTCGCAAGCGGGCAGGGAAACCGGCTTGTTTGTGGCGGTAAACACTACTGTAGTCGGCGAGGCGTCGGGGACTAGCAGAGGACGAAACTTTGACGGCGGTCCGGCCACAGCGGGAGAGGGCCGTCTTTTTCTCAGCTGTGCTAGGCAGACTTTTGCTGATCAGGCTTCAGCGTGATCTTGGGTCGAGGCCCCCGGGGAGGAGGCTGTCTGCGGCGGCTGTCAGAGCAAGAGCGAGGGCATCCGCCCTGTCTACGCTGGGGCTGCTGAGCTTGCTGAGGCGGGCACTGTTGCGGGGTTCTGGCAGAGGGCTCGTGAGAGCGGCCTGCAGAAGTGCTGGCGCGGCGGGGCAGGAACAAGTTCATGGCCTGGGTGGCTTTTTGTACCTCGGAGAAGCGGTCGATGATGCCCGTGACGGCAGATCCGAAGAGGCCGGTCGGAGAGATAGGCGCGTTGAGGAAGACTGCGCGTTCTGAATCTCTCAGCGACACAGAGGTTGGCCATACATCTCCCCAGGGCTTGTGCGGCGGCTTTAGTGGCGCGAAGGGAAAGGTCCGTCGCGCTTCTCAAATCCGAAAGGATGGGCGGGTTCCTGCCGCTCTTCGCCATCTCGCACAAGATGTCGCTCTGTAGCACTTGGAGGACTGACATAGAATGCAGCGCTGAAGCGGCCTGACCGGCGGCGGCGTAAGCGCGAGCATGAAAAGTGGAGGTCGCTCTGCACGCTTTCGAAGGAAGCGTAGGGGAAGAACGCCATCTAGCAGAGGGCAGACAAAGGTGAGCGGCGACCAGGTCCTCGACGGGCGGCATGGCAGTATATCCCCTCTCGGCGGCTCCGTCCACCGAGCGCAGCAAGGCGGACACGT